CTGAGGCATTCGACGAGGACCCGAGTGTTCTCAGACCCCGAGTCGATCGTGACTGCCGTCGAAAACAGCTTAGGATGAAGACTGGGTCCCTGGAACACGCTGGAATCCAGGGCCCGTTGTCTCCAGGACCTGTCTCCCTCTTTGCAGTGCTGCTGCTGTTTTTTTCCCGAGGTATCCGAAGGTCCCATGAGGTCTTCGGACTCCTCCTGCCTTCAGGCCAACACTGGTCTTCAGAGGCCTGAGGAGGGCTAATCGGCGAAGTACGTCCACAGATTTCGATTCTTAATCGAGAACCTGTTCGGGTGATTTTGTCGGCGCCGTTGCGCGGTGCTGTCAAGTGGGGCAGGGGGTCACGGGGATTTGGTGATGAAAGCAACAATTCTAGACGCTTCTCGTATCCCCACCAGCCCATCCAGAAAAGACGTCCAGGCGAGTTGAGGTGATCAGAGAAGTGCGGCAGCAAAGAGGAGGACGGCCGAACCGTGCAAAGGAGTGAGGAGGAGGAGGAGGTGGATGGGTGGATGGATGAGGGAGTGGGAAGAAGGAGGATGAAAAGGATGAGGAGGAGGCGGAGCAGGACGAGGAGGAGGAGGAGGAGGAAGAGGAGGAAAAGAAGGAGTAGGAGCAGGAAGGAGGAACAGGAGGAGGAGGAGGGCAAGCACAGGGGCCAGAGGTCTCTTGGATGTCTCTCGGAGCCTCTTGGGGTATCTCTTGGGCGATTCTTGGTGGCCTCTTGGGACGTTTTGGGGGTCTCTTGGCGCTCCAGGGGAGCTTTTCGGGGTCTTGGGTGCCTCGGGGGGGGGGCTCTTGGGGCCGCTGAGGGTCTTCTTGGGGGCCTCCTGGGGGCCTCTTGGGGGCCTCCTGGGGCCATCTTGGGGCTATCTTGGGACCTCTTGGGGCCTCCTGGGCGCTTCTTAGGGCCATTTTGGAGGAGATCTATCAAAGAAGAGCGGAGCTTCAATTAGGGTTGCCCCCAGGAGGCCAACATGGGGCCAACACCCTAGTAAAATGAATGATTTGGGCTTCCTCGCCGAGGCCATCTTGGACGCTCTGACCGCTCGCGGCCCCCCCCCGTCCAGGTCCACGGTGAGGGGGTAGGGGGAGGGGTGAACCCCTCCCCGAAGGGGAAGAGGGAGGGGTGGAAGAGGAAACGCCCTTAACCACCGACGCCCAGAGGGCTGGTGGGATTCCTTGTTGGCCCCTTCGTTGTTGCGGCGTGGATTCGCTGCAATCCTTCCTTTGCCATCTGTCTAGGTTGCTTTGGGTCACTCCGCCGATAGGGGTAGCAGCGCGTTCCTTGCCCAAGGTCACATCCAAATCCAATCTCCCACGTACCAACGTTGCCATGAAGGAAAGGTCCTGAGGCAAACGGGCCCCAGACCCCTGGAGCTTTCCTTTCATCAGGACCAGCACTCTCCTCATGGGCACTTGTTTTTACCACCCTGGGGGCCCGTTGAAGGCCCCGAGGGCCCCGAAGACGGCGAGAAGCCTCCATGCCCTTTATCCTCCAGGACGCTCTCCCTCCGCGGCGGTCCAGAAACCAAAACCGATGCCTGGACACCCTCCTGGCGTGCGGTCTGACCGACACCTCCAGTGGAGCCCAGCTGTGGCGGCGAGGGCGCCCCACCACCACTGAGCCAAGCGTCCGAACGGGCGCCCAGGCAGAATAGCGCGCGATGGGCCATTCTTCGGGACAATGCGTCGCACAGTGGCCGAGTGTGCTCAGAGACCCAGACACGACGCAGGAGCGGAATGCACGACCAGCTGCGAAAGCAGCAGTGGGGCCCCCCTCCCAGGAGATGCCGCAGCCCACTTCGACCCAGGACTGCTGCTCCTGCTCGTGCCCTCTTCAGGGGCAACGTTCGTCGGAGACAGGACGCATGGACCCCCATTCGCCCACCGATGGCCGATTGGAGCCCGATAGCCCACCACGCCTGGGATGCGGATGCGATATCGGGAGCCTCTGTTCAGGCGGTGCTGGGGGCAGAGATACATCTTTCCAGAGCGTACTGGAACGCTTTCAGAGCGCTCCAGAGCGGTCTGGAGGGCCGAGGCGCCCGATACATTCTCCGGGTTTGCCTGTCGCGCGTGCGGGGACTGGGCACAGCAGGGTCCGAAGCTTTGGCTCGAGGCAGAGGCCAGAGGCACAGGAGCTGCTGTGGCACTGCCATGAGAGTTGCCATTGTGGGTGCAGGAGCTGCAGGCAGTGCATGCGCCTGGCGATTACTGGCACGTAAAGGTCCAGAGGAATTGTCTGTGACAGTGTTCGAGATGGGCCGTGGTGCTGGTGGCCGTGCCGGCACTCGACACGTGGCTGGACGTCCAGGCTTGAATGTGAACCATGGTGCACCTGTGTTTCATGTGCCTGATTCAGATGAGCGCACCAAGCCGTTGATATCTGCGTTGCTGGAGTCGGGCCACTTGGCAGAGTGGCACGGAACCTCTGGCAGTATCAATGCACTAACAGGAGCTTCGAGTGTGGGAGGGGCATCCCGTGGAGAAGACAAGTTGGGCGGGCAATCTTTTGGCCGTTATTCAGGGCAACCGAGCATGTCGTCACTTGCTAGGGGGTGCCTTGAGCTTGCAAGCAAGGGTAACGAGAAAGCCCTGGAGATCAACTTCGGCACGCGAGTGAAAGAGCTCAGGCCCATAAAGGACCAGGACACAATCAACGGTTGGGAGATTTTGGACAAGGATGGCCAGAGTTTCGGTGTGTTTGACTGGGTAGTCGTGTCTGGAGCCACGCCCGCGCTGGATCGTTGGCGGGCTGGCTTCAAGGAGGAGCCTCCAGTGCATGCAGCCGCGCAGGCCTCGGGCTCCAAGACTTTCCAGAGCCTTGTTGCGCAGCTAGACTCGCCACTTCCGTATGAGCAGGTGCATGTGGTTATGTGTGTTTGGGACGTTTCTATTGGTAGTGTTGCGGCAGAACAAGTTTGCCATTGTCTGCGTCAGCTTCCATTTGACATCACCCAGGTCAATGACGATGAAGCGCTTGCAAAGGTGTCGTTGCAAAGTGTCGGACCTACGTATGCGGTCGTCGCCTTGCACTCTACGCCCGCTTTTGCTCGAAAACACAAGAAGGTCATGGGTTCTGGTAGCTACGTGTCTGTCGCAAACAACGTTGAAGGCAGTATTGACAGTGAGGGAGCTGTGTGCGAGGAGCTTGTTGGATCCCTCCGCTCACTCATAGAAAAGCTGGGCATGCTGAAGCTTCCATCGCCCGATTGGGGCCCTGCCCTGCACAGATGGGGAGCAGCATTCCCTGAGCCAGACATGGGGCCTGTGGGCCGTGATGACGCGTGGGTGCTGCCCGCCGAGCGCTTTGCGCTTGCGGGGGACTTCCTGTCGCCGCCGAACGCTTGCGTGGCCGCTGCTCTACGGAGCGGCCTTGCCGCAGGAGATGCTCTGCTGAGGCTTGTGCGGGGTCATGTGGTTGCTTCCCCGATTCTCCAAGACGCGAGCACAGAGTGAGCGCGGCTCTCGGACAGCGTTCGGCTTTTCGTGCGTTCGGCATGTCTCTCTTCCACGTGGTGCGTAGGTAGTCTAATGGAGGGGTGAGCTATGTCGCATGTTCGACACCTTGCTGTCCAGTTCCAAAGGTCTACGTGGTGCGTAAAGCATAGCCAGTGCCATTATGTTTGCGCTCATCGGCAAACTCACGTCATCTCGAGATTGCATTTCCATTACATCTGTTTGCATGCTTCCCAACACTGCCCACCACCATGGCCGTCTATACCTTGTTCCCTGAATGCACTCATTCATGGATTCACCTTTTTGCTCACTGATTCGTTCATCCATCCACCCACCCGTTTTCGCAACCATCGGTGATCCAGTTTTGCGACCTTCCTCCGTTCCTCTTCTTCCTTCCTCATCTTCTTCATGCGCCTCCCACCCTCGCCGCCTCATCCGCCCTACTCTTCATCCTCCTCTTTGCAGCTCATCTTCGGGATGTTCCATCTGTTGGGTGTGCGAGCAAACCAGCTCGCAGGCTGCTCGCGCATGTTTCCGCCAGGCACAGGCCCTGTTCTTTCAATTGCTTCCACGCCTCCACACTACGACATCAACCATTCCGCGTGGCTGCACGCAGCACGACAGATGCCCCACCTCAGATGTTACGGCATCGCGCGCCTTGCCCGAATTGACAGGCACACGCGCCTCGCCTTCCTCCCCTCCCCTTCTCCCCCACATTGTCCCTCGCCCTTGCTTTTTGCGCAACCTCGACTGTCTCAACGCGCGCTCGCTGTGCCCGTCGCAGCGCGCCGCGGCTCATATACGGGGCCAAGAGGAGACGGATGAGGAGGAGGAGGAGGAGGAGGAGGACGACGACGACGATCAGGAGGATTCGCAGGAGACAAAGGAGAGGTGCAGGAGGAAGAGGAAGGAGTTAAGGAGGAGACGGGACAAGGTAGAAGCAGGAGCGAGGATAATAACAACGAGGAGGAGCAAGTGCAGGTTCCTTGTTTGCCCTTCCTGGCCCTCTTCCGTTTTCTGATTGCCTCTTCTATCTCTTTCCGTTCTCCACCGCGTTTGCCCGCCAGGTTGCTGAGCGCTACTCCTCCGAAGACTGGATCCTGCAGGTGCAGACTTTGGCTTCTTCCAAGATACTGACGCGCATTCAGTCCCACCTCGCATTCAACACCATCTTCGCAGTTGTGGCGGGCGGGTCATTGGGAGTAGGGAAAATAGCGTGAGGCCCAGGAGGAGGACAAGGAGTCCGACGAGCAATAGGATGAGGATAGTTACTCAGACGAGTACTACGAGGAGAAGGGGGAGGAGGAACATTGTGAGAATGCGGAACGCGAGTATTTGGAGAAGATATCGGCAACATGAGCATCACAACGATAATATGTGATACTGGTAATGATGATGCTGCTGATTATGGTGATGGTACTGGTGGTGCTAATGATAATTGACAGCACGGTGATCATGTTGATGATGACCACGATGATATAGGTATCGTTGTTGTTATTGCTGCTGCTGCTGGTGTGGCTGTTGTTGATGTTCGCGTTGTTGTCGATATTGTTGAGTGTTAATAACTAGACAATTATTTTTGTTGGATCTCCCCCAGGCGCTTTGGCGCTCTCGCTTCGACGCCGACTACATTTTCATTGAACATGAGGCTCACGCTCGAACTGTTTGGGGGGCGCCAAAATCGGCCCCCAAACAGCAACAACGCTCCCGCTCGAGAGTTCCTCCTTTTTTGCTCAGGGCCGGTGCTCTTGCTCGCCGCCGAAAGCCGCCGTCCCAACAAAACCAGCGCTACCGCTCGAAACTTCCTCCCGTTTTACCTTGGACTGGTACCGCTCTAATCGGCGCCGCTCCCAGCAAAAACAACGTTCCCGCTCGAGACTTCCTTTTTTACTCAAGGCGGTGCCCCTCCTCGCCGCCGAAAACCGCCGTCCCGACAAAACCAGCGCTCCCGCCCGAGACTTCTTCCTCACGTTTTACGCTGGACTGCCGCCCTACTCTCTTTTGAATTGGCGCCGCTCCTAGCAAGAACAACGCTCCCGCTCGAGGCTTCCTTCCTTTTTCCTCCGGATGGTGCTGTTCCTCGCCGCCGACAGCCCCCGTCCCGACAAAACCAGGGCTCCCGCTCGAGTCTTCCTCGCTTCTTACTCAGGGCGGTGTTCCTCCTCGCCGCCGACAACCGCCGTCCCAAAAAAAACAGCGTTCCCGCTCGAGACTTCGTTTTATTTTACGCTGGACTAGCGCCCTACTCTCTTCAGCATTGGTGCCGCTCTCAGCAACAACAGCGGCCCTGCTCGAGACTTCTTCCCTTTCTATTCAGGGCCAGGTTCTTGCCTCGCCGCCGACAGCCCTCATCCCCACCAAGGCAATTCTGTCGCTCGATACTTCCTTGTGCTTTACCCTTGGCTGGGGCTCCACTGGCGGTCTCGCATCGGCGCAGCACGGCGCGGGCATGCGTTTTCGAGGCGGGACGTGTTGAAATTCCGCGGGGGAGATGTTTGCAAGACCTCATTGGGCGGGAGATCTGGGAATGGGAATATCGGACCCCGCTACAGAACAATCATCCCACATGATCTGGATGGTTATCATGATGGTCGCATGCTTCGTGTGAAACATCGCGCATGAGGGTAAACTGATTGCTGTTGTTGGTGATGTTGGTGCTGCTGTTGTTGTTGGTGGTGCTGTTGCTGTTGTTGTGGTGGATGCTGCTGAACTCCTGTTGTTGAAGAAAAGGTATAGTTGTTCCCCCCCTCTGTGGCACATTGCGTTTTTGTCAGTTGACGTGCCCTTCTCGGGGCCCGCACTTGGTTTTTAATCAGGGAAAGTCTTGGGTCTCAGAATTGGGTTGTTGGCTTCGGGTTTACAACAAGAGCGGCTCCCGCTGGATTTTATTTCACAATCTAGTCCCAAATCGCGCTCTCGTGCGGGACCTCCTTGCAATGTATGCAGGAATCGCGCTCTCGCGTGGGATCTCCTCGCAATGTATGCAGACGCCGCGCCCTCGACACCCAGGAATCACGCTCTCGCTTTAGCTGCTCTCACGATTTACTCGGGAGTCGCGCTATCGCTCGAGACTTTTCGCGTTTCCTGCAGGACGCACGCTTCACCAACCCGCCTGCTCGACCTGGCCGCCCGGGCCCGCCTTCCCGACCCGCCTGTCAGGGTCTACCCGCCCGATCTGCCGTCTGGCTCTGCCACGTGTTTTCTGCTCTTGGCCCCCCTCCTGCTACTCTCTCTCTCGTGCTCCGTTCTCCTCCCTCACCCTTGCCCCTTTCTTCCATCCGTCCTCTTTCCCCCTGCCGTAAAGGCTGCATGAAATACACGTTGCAACAACGCCCGTGCCGTCCAGTTGTTGCGACCCCGCCCGCCCATCAGGGTACTCGCGTGTCAATTCGATCATGCACCACACTTCAATGTCCCGCCCTCCCGACCCGACCCGCCCGTTCGGGTCCACCCGCCCGACCCGACTCGACCCGGCCCGCCCGTTAGGACTTTCGCGTGTGAGTTCGATCATGCACCACTTTTTAATGTCCCGCCCGCCCGACCCGACCCGCCCGTTAGGGTCCGACCGCCCGACCCGACCCGACCTGCCCGTCGCCGGCGACGTCGTCCTCCTTTTCTTCTGCTGCTTCAGCTCTTGTTCCCGGCCGCGTTCTCGCTTTCTTTTCGCCTTTGTCACCGCTCTCATTCTCTCCTTCGTTCTCGCCTTTGTTCTCGCTTTCGTTTCGCCTATATTGCCATCTCGTTATCGCATTTGGTATCGTCTTCGTTTCGCTCTCGTTCGCGTTCTCGATTTCGTTCTCGCCTTGCTTTCGGTTTCGTTCCGCTGTCGTTTCCGCCAGCATTCTCGATTTCGTTTTCGCCTTCGCTTCCCTTTCGTTCTCCGCGGGTGCATTCGCTTCCCGGGTCGCGCGGAACGTGGCAGATTACGCGCGAGCACGGTTGATCACGCAGGCGCACGGCAGACCAAACATATTCGCGGTCGACCCGCACGGCTGACGATGCATGGGTACGGCGGAGCACGCAGGAACACGGCTGATCACGAAGGAACAGGGCAGAACACAAAGCAGCACGGCAGAGCACAGAGGACCACCGCAGACCACGCAGCATCATGGCAGAGACCGCCGGGAGCACGGCAGACCAAACCAACCGGGTCTTCCCAAACCAGACGGGCCTTCCCAAACCACCCAGGTCTTCCCAAGCCACAACGGCCGGGTCTTCCCCAACCAACCGGATTTTCCCAAACCAAGTGGGCCTTCCCAAACCACCAGGTCTTCCCAAACCACATCGGCTGGGTCTTCCCACACCAACCGGGTCTTCCCAAACCGAACGGGCCTTCCCAAACCACCAAGGCCTTCCCAAACCACAACGGCCGGCTCTTCTTAAACCAACCGGGTCTTCCAAACCGAACGGGGCTTCCCCAACCACCAGGGTCTTCCCAAACCACAACGGCCGGGTTTTCCCAAACACCGGGTCTTCCCAAACCAGCCGGGCCTTCCCAAACCGACGTCCCCTTCTTCCGAGACCGAAGTTCTGGGTCTTCCCATGCCAACCGGGTGTCTTCCCAAACCGCGAGAGGAGGCCGGGTCTTCCCAAACCTCCCAAACCAAACGGCCAGGTCTTCCCAAACCTCGGGGGTCTTCCCAAAACACAACGGCCGGGTCTTCCCAAACCAATTGGGCCTTTCCAAACCGCAGCGGCGGGATTTTCCCAAACCAACCGGGTTTTCCCAAACCAACCGGGTCTTGCCAAACCAATCGCGTCTTCCCAAACCAACCGGGTCTCTTCCCGAACCACGAGGCCCGGGTTTTCCCAAACCAACTGGGTCTTCCCAAGCCAACAGGGTCTGCCCAAACCAAACCGGGCCTTCCTAAACCAGGACCGGGATCACCCAAGCCAAAGTTTGGTTTGGGAAGACCCGTTTGGTTGGGGAAGGACGCCCCCCGGGTGACCAATTCTTTGGAACGCCGAGCGCCGCGCCGAGGCGACAGCGACATTTCGGGCTTTCGCGCGGCGCGCGCGCGCCGCGTCCCGTTACTGCCGCGCAGTGTCTTGCGTGAGCGACACGATGTCCACGTGGGGACTTGTTTCTCGCTGTCTCGTGGGATTGCGCACCCCGGACTGGGTTGCTATCGGCCGGCAATAGGGAGTGAGGATACGTCGAGGTTCAGTCGGCCAGGTCGACCGAGTCGGGGGCCCCGCGTGCCCCCGCCCGCCCGCGGGCAACAATGCAATCGATTGCGGCGCTAGTTGATCATGGGATTGGGGCGCGCCCCCGCGTCGCAAACAAGATGCGCTCGCGCGCGGCCCCCGCCCCCGACGACGCGGCGAAGAGGAAGCTGCGCAGGCCGCGCAGGGTCGGGCATGGCAGCGCCTCCGATGGGCGCAACGAAACCGAAACACGCGCCGCGCTGACGCAGCGCGGCCGCCCCCCTCCACCCCCCCCCTTTGCCCGCTGGAGGAACGGGTCGGGGGGTGGCGCTGCTTCGCTGGCAAGAGGGGGGGGGTCGCGGCAAGACGGGCGTCTTCGACGAGGCCGCGGCGCTCGATGGCGCGGCGCAGTGCGACGACCGCAGTCAAGCGCGGGGATGCTTGCGGAACAACTCCAGAGACAAGCTGTTCCCGACGAGCTAACTCGAGCGCGCGAACGCTTTCGCGAGCGCCGTGGGGCCCCTCCAACGCGCGCCGCTCCGGGCGATCCACCTGCGCAATTTTCTACGCGGGGGGGGGTGGGCCATGGGGCGGCGGGCGCGCGACGCCCATTCGCCGACGCCCAGGTGAGGGGCAAGTGGCTCAGCGCAGCCAGCGCGTGGCGCCGCGAGAACGACTGCCGCGCGACCGAGATGGTTCGCCGCTTATCCTCCGAGCACCTGGCGCGCGCGCGCGAGTGCCTGGAGCGCATTGGTGCGATCATTTGCGGCACCTTCCTGCCTGCGGTAATCGGGCAAGTCGGGGCGTCGCGCTCGAGCTTCTCGGGCCGCAGTGGCTTCCCGCAGGCGTGGCGTGAGCAGCCGCGCCTGAACTGCATCCCCACTTTCGGGTGGGATCTTGTTCGCGGAGACACGCTCGGTCAGCTGCGGCCCAGGGGTCAGAACATAATTCGCGGTTGGCATGCGTCAGACTTGGCGGGGGCCGCCTGGGCGGGAGTGATGCGCGCCGTCGTCCTGATGGCAGCGGCCCGCCCGCCCTCTGCAGCGGCGAGTTCTCCGTGGGTCTTCCAAGGCAGTCGTCCCAGGGCGAGGCCAGCGCCTTGCAGGGATGTCGTCAGATGCAGTTTCCGATGTTTATCTTGTGCAGACGGTTTCGGGTGCCAGTAGTGCGTGGGAGTTTTGATTCCTCTCGCCCCAGGGTCGCCCTGTCGTCGCAGTGCGAGGCTTGCCGGAAGCCCGCGCATGCATGCTTGATGTTTGCCGATGTTCGAAGCGCCGGAGAAAACGCTCTGCAGGTTTAGTCTTTTCGTGGATATTTGCGAGGGCGAAAAGCGATGCAAATCTTGCATAAGAGTGCTCGTTCGCACTAATGAGCTTCGCGCAAATCTGTGCGGGAAACAATTTAAGCAGCTTCCCATCCGCATTTCTGAGCCTTGGCCCTAATGCTGATGCCGCACATTGTTCACATGCTTCGCTAATACGTTCGCCCATTGCAGACCCCGTCGTTTTGTATAACTTCAACCGTTTGCCAACCGTCATTTTATCATCCTGAGCACTTCCAGGGGATTTGAAGTCTGTGTGTGTGCGTGTGTGTGTATATGTGGGCGTGCGTGTGCGTGTGTGTGTGTGTGTGTATGTCCCCCTCGCGCAGGCCCCCGTCCCGTCTGCGGGACCCTGCCCTCCTGTTTGGCTTCACCTCGCTGCACCTGCTCGGCGCCGCGCCATCGCATCCGGCGGTGGCGGCCTTCCCCCTTCCGCTGCGGGCTTCCCCCCAGCCTGCTGGGAGGCGCACGTCGCCTCCTTTTTGCACATATTCGCACTTCTCCCCCCCGCCTGCCCCCGCGCCGCCCGCTGCGCGCTGGCCCTGGCGCCTGCCGCCCCACCTGTGGACACACAGGTGGGACGTCCTCCTCCTCGCCCCTCGCTCGCCCCTCGCTCGCCTCCCCATATTCCACGTTGCCATGGCGCTGCCGGCTGACGCCGCCCTTGGCCGCCAGTCGCTTGCGCCCGCACCACCTGCCCCGGGCCTGGAGTTGTTGCCCACCGCTGGCGCACCACCATTTGGCTCCTCACGCTCTCTCGCTGGGGTTGGGCTGCCTCGGATTTGACATTGACGCATTCACCTTCAGGTTTCGCTTCGCAATGGGCCCCGCTGCCCCCCGGGCGTTCACGCAGCAGCCGCCGCGCGCCCAGCGGCGGGGCCGGCCACGCCACACGTTCGGGGGGCGTTCTGGCCCCTGAGCCGCCCGCCCTATCCTTCGGCCGCGTTCCTCCTCCTTCCTCCTCCTGCATGGTGGCACAGTTCGGCCCAACGGCGCCCCCGTTCATGCCATTCATCGCCAGCGCAATCACCCTCTGCCTGGCCGCCGACGCAGAACAATTGTGTATGTGCGCGTGGGGGAACAGGGCCCAGCGGTCTCATCGCACACCCACGGCTTGGCCCCTAAGTCGAAGCTGAACCGTGCCATTCCCCCCCCCCCAAGAATATCGTCTAGCGTGGGACGCGGCCGCAGACAGATGCAAACGTTCGTGCGCGAATATTCTAGCAACGCCTGAACGCCTCTAAACATGCGAGAGCAGTTCCGTAGTCAGTTTTCCCTTCCCCCTCTGTCCTTTTTCTGTTCTGTCTGTTTGATTATTTCAGCGATTGCTGGAGTGTGTGCGGAGTGCTGGGTCCAGGCGGTATCATCGCATGCCTGCGTTTCGGAGTTCGTGCCGAAGTCGAGGCTTGCCTCTTCGCCTTCACATGGAAACATGTCCTTCGTGTGGCGCCTGCATGTATGAACGCATGCGTGCATGTATGTATTTGTGTAAGGTGGTGGAATGTACTGTATTGCATCGGACAGGAAGGCGTAACGAGGCAAGGTTGGGTAGGGTTTGTAGCGACTTTCCAGTAATGTCATGTAGTATTCCGTCATGTAATATACTGTCATGTAATGCGTTGTGATGTGATGTAAATGTGCTCTAGTGTAGTGTGGCGGCCTTCGGTCTTCCGCCTCCGCGCTTGGCTTGTAGGTCAGAAGAGTACTGGATGCTTGTGGGGATCTCTTGGGCTGTTTTTGGCAGCCTCTTGGAAGTGGCTCTAAGGTGTCTATGGGTCTCTCGGGGGCCTCTTGGGGCCTCTTTTGGATTGGGCCGTCTTGGGAGCCTCATAGGGCCCTGCTGGCCGTCCTGGGGCCCCCAGGATTCGGGAAAAATCAGGCGCCAAGCCCCAAACGGCGATCAGGGAAGCCCCTGGAGCGCTCGGCAGCGCCCGGATCTTGGGACTTTTCCCCCTCATTGAATATTTGAGGATTCAATGGATTCGACGGACCTGGGGAAATTTCTCCCTTCTTGTGGCACTGTGCCTCATGTGTGTATACATATATAGATACAAACATGTATACATGTGTATGCGTGTAAACGTGAATGTGTAAATGTATACCGTGTCATTTGTTTATATACTACATACATCCATACAGCGAAAGAGAAAGAGAGAGGGGATCTGTGTATAAATATATGCGTATGCATATATGCATATATATAAATGTAAAGAGACACGCACAACACAACGGAGAGGGAGGGAAGACGAACAGAAAAAGTGTGTGTAGGGAGGTGGCCGTCGCCCACGATAAGTATTTCATGGGCACCCGCTGCTTCTACGGGCTCTGCGTCAACGTGCCGGTCCCGCACGCCGCCGCCACGCCGCAACCCAATGTATTGAATCGCTTCGCTCATTCCGCCGGCCCATCTTGTTCGACGGCTCTCGGTTCCCCGTGTTGTTGAGCGGCGGTTGATATTTGGCGCGGCGCTTGGGGATTGTTCGAGCTGAAGCAGTTGCTGTTGAGCTGCCTCTGGGGGTGGGTGTTGCGGGCTTCTGCGGTGCACGAGGCATGTAGGTATTTGGCTTGGGCCGGTTTGGGGGCAGTCTGAAGATTTGAGTCTTTCATCTGAGCATCCTGCTGTCGGGAGGCATTTCGGGGGCCTTTTGGCGGTACTTTTGAATCCTCCTGGGGCCTCACGGGGCATTTCGGCAGCCTTTTGGGGCCTCTGGGGGGCCTCCTGGGACCGCTCGGGTCCCCCGTTTGGGCCCTCTCTTGGAGCCGTCTTTGGAGCCTCTTGGGCCGACCCACGGGGGGCACCACGCGCACGAGTTAGCAATGTGCAGGCGTCCTAAGCCTCTGACCAGAGATTGTGGCGCGCCTTTGGCCCGTTGGGTCAGCGATTTTCCTTTCCTTGCCCTTGCCTGTCCATGTGCGTCCATTCCTGCAGTTGCGTATCTTTTTCCCACTCCCTTTCCTCTTCCCTCCTTCCCTCCCCTTCCCTTCCGTACTTCCACCTTTCCCCCACCTTCACGTGCCCACGCTGATGCCCCCTTCTCTCCCGTTCCTCCTGCTCTGCTCCACCACCTCTTGCCCCCCGTCAGACGCCCGAGGTCGTCTCTCCCTGGCGCCGTCCGCAGCTCTGCAGGTAGCCTGGCCTGCCAGCTCGCGATTCGCGACTGCAGGGGCAAGGCCACCCCCCGGCGTCCAGAATTTTTCCGTGGGCCTGTCCGGGAGTCAGAGGCTTGTCATCGCTCGGACGTGTGCATTTTCCTGGCGAGGACCATCGAGGAACATCCTTGATCATCTAGCCAAGAAAGCGCACATGATTCCGAAAAGTGCACGGGGAGTGGACGTCCGAGCGATGGCAAGAGGAAGGCGAGTTGAAATCACCGTACGGTCGGACCGAGATTGTAGTGGCCTCTGGCCAGTGCCGCCGATCCGGGGGCGCTCCCGATGCGATCTGGTCGGTGGAAGGGGAGGTGGAGGAGTAGGTGGAGGATGAGGCGGAGGGAGGTGGAGGGAGGGATTGCCTCACGATGGCCCAAGACGGCCGAAGCAGCCCCCAAGAGGCCAAGAGGCTTCCAAGACGGCCCAAGGATCCTCCAAGTGGACCTCCAGGAACGCCCGAAGAGGCCCAAACCACTGATGTCCTGATGGTTTTTGAAGGATTCGGGTTGATGCGGGGGATGATGATGCTGATGATGCGGGGAATGATGATGACGAAACTGATGATGATGATGATGATGATGATGATGATGATGATGATGATGATGATGCTGATGATGATGATGATGATGACGATGATGATGATGATGCAAATGATGATGATGATGATGATGCTGATGATGCTGATGCTGATGAAGATGAAGATGATGATGATGATGATGATGATGATGATGATGGTGCTGCTGCTGCTGATGATGATGATGACGCTGATAAATATGATGCTGGTGATGATGGTAAAAGGGGATGGTGATGATGATGACCATAACGACAACGATGTCGACAATGATGATGATGATGATGATGATGATGATGATGATGATGATGATGCTGATGCTGATGCTGCTGATGCTGATGCTGATGCTGATGCTGATGCTGATGCTGATGCTGCTGATGATGATGATGATGATGATGCTGATGATGATGATGATGATGACGATTATGATGAGGTTTCTGACGCTGATGATGATGATGATGATGATGATGATGATGATGATGATGATGATGATGATGATGATGATGATGATGATGATGATGATTGATGATGATGATGATGATGATGATGATGATGATGATGATGATGATGATGATGATGATGATGATGCTGAAGATGGCGATGAGGGAGGCATGATAATGAGGAGGCACAAGAAGGAAGATAACGAAGAGGAGCAGGGAGGAGGAGGAGGAGGAGGAGGAGGAGGAGGGAGGAGGAGGAGGAGGAGGAGGTGAAGGAGGAGGAGGAGGAGGAGGAGAGCAGGAAGAGGAGGAGGGAGCGGGAGGAGGAGGAGGAGGTGGAGGAGAAGGAGGAGAGAGGAGGAGGAGGAGGAGGAGGAGGGAAGGAGGAGGAGAGAGGAGGAGGAGGAAGAGGAGGAGCAGGAAGAGGAGGAGGGAGCGGGAGGAGGAGGGAGGAGGTGGGAGGAGAAGGAGGAGGAGGAGGAGGAGGAGGAGGAGGAGGAGGAGGAGGAGGAGGAGGAGGAGGAGGGAGGAGGAGGGGGAGGGGGAAGAGGCGGAAGGCAAAGGGGGGAGGATGGTGAGGGAAGGGGAGAAAGGAGGATGAGGGACGAAGAGGGGCTGTCCAAACGGGAGCTCACACGCCGCTGATGAGGGGTCTGCCAGGCCACCCGCATGGAGAGCCAAGATGATCGCGCCTCGTGCGTCCCGGCCCAGGCCGGACACCTGCGGCGAGCTCTCCAGGGAGGGGGAGGAGGGGGAGGAGGAAGAGGAGGAAGAGGAGGTGGAGGGAGGAGGAGGGAGGAAGGAGAGGAGCACCCACGGGAGCACCTCGGGTCCGTTTCTGAAAGCCCCGGGGTCCGAAAACGGCCCCAGGGCCGAAAGCGAGGGCAAACCCCCGAACGTCGACGAAAATAGTCGAAGATCGACCATCGACGAGGATCGATAATCGACCACGATAGGGAGGGAGGGGGGCTGCCAGGCCGCCCGCGCGAGGGGCGGGCGAGGGCGATCGCCGCCGCCCTGCGCGAGAGCGCAGGGGGGACACAGGAAGTGGAGTAGTAGGAGGAGGAAGGGGAGAGGAGGAGGAGAAGGAGGAAGAGGAGGAGCGAAAAGAGGAGGAGGAGGAGGTTGAGGAAGAGAAGGAGGAGAAGCAGAAGGGCGGGGAGGAAGAGGAGGACGGGAACCAGGAGCACGAGCAGGAGCCGAAGCAGGAGCAGGAGGAGGAGGAGGACGACGACGACAAGGAGGAGGAGGAGGAGGAGGAGGACGAGGACGAGGACGAGGAGTCGGAGGAGCAGGAGGAGGATAAGGAGGAGGAGGAGGAGGAGGAAAAGGAGGAGGAAGAGGAGGAGAAGGAAGTGGAGGAAAAGGAGGAGGTGCAGGAGGAGGAGGAGGAGGAGGAGGAGGAGGAGGGAGGCGGAGGGAGGAGGAGGAGGAGGAGAGAGGAGGGACAGGAGGAGGAGGAGGGACAGGAGGAGGAGGAGGAGGAGGAGGACGACACCTACCTGGTGCTCCCAGCGAGGCTCGCCGCGGCCGCCCTCCGCCGCCTGGGGGAGCTCCTGGAGCCCCTCGGGCTGGAGCTCAACGCCGCAAAGACGCAGGTATGGTCTCCGACTGGGCCGCAGGTTGTGCCCCCAGAGCTACGCGCGCACTTCGTGCCAGCACTCCCCGTGCTCGGTGCACACCTGCGGGCGCGGGGCGACGTGGCCGACGCGCCCTTCGAGCTGGGCCAGAACAGCGGCCTTGAGCAGTCCGCTGGGCGCTTGACGCAGCTCTGGAACGCCCTCCGGCCGCTTGGGAAGCGCACGGTTGGCGAGCACGGCCTCTCGCTGCAGGCGACTGGGAGTTTGCTGCGCACCTACGCGGGCGCTGCGAGCCAGCACGTCCTGCGCGCGCAGCTGGCTGGCGAGGCGGAGGCGGCTCGCTACGACGCCACTCTGGCGGGCTACTGGGAGGAGCTCGCAGGGCGGCCGCTGGACGCCGCGGCGCGGGAGATCCTCGGCCTCCCCCTCAAGCTCTCTGGCGCGGGGCTGCAGTGGGCGACAACGCGACGAGCCGCGGCCTTCTGGGCCGGCTGGACCGCCTGCGTGTCCAGCGTGGCCGCGGACCTCGGCGCCGACTCCCTGCTCGAGCTCCTGGAGGCGGCGCCGCGACTCGGCGAAGCCCTCTCCGACGCGCGGACGGAGCTCTCCCTCCAGGGCGCGGACCCCGCCCCGGGCGCTTCCTTGCTGGACGCCCTGCAGCACCCGGCGAAGCAGAGCACTCTCGTGCAAGCTGTGCAAAAGAAAACCCACGCTTCCCTGAGGCAGCGTTTGCACAGCCACGAGCGGGCGACGCTCCTGGGGGCCGGAGGGCCAGGGGCCGCGGGTTTCCTCGGTTACCCGAGCGATCCCGCTTGCTCGCTGGAGGACGCGCTCTGGGCCACGGGGCTCCGTGCCCGCGCGCACTTGCCCAGGCCTGAATGCGCGCAGGCAGAGCTCCAGACGGCTGCGCAGTCCTGCCAGAACCGCCCTGCCGCCGAGGGAGCCCGCGGCGCGCCCTGCGGGCAGCCGCTGGACGAGCAAGGCACGCACGCGGCCACCTGCGCCCTGGGCGGCGGTGTGGAGCGCCGCCACGGCAGCCTCGAAAACGCGGTGGCCGGCCTGGTCCGCCGCTGGCTGCACCAGGAGCCGCTGACGGAGCAGCGGGTGCCAGCCTGGGACCGTGTCCGCAACCGGCGGCCGGCAGACCCGCCAGACGCAGACCTCCTCGAACGCGCAATCCTGGACGTCGAGTACAGCGACGGGGCCAGCCGCCACTGGATCGATGTTTCGGTCCGCCACCCGGCAGCCGAGGACGTGGCGCAGGCGGCGGCGCGCAGGCCTGGCGAGGCCGCCCGGAGAGGCGAGCGCCAGAAACACGCCAGGTACCCGGGGGACAGACTGACGCCATTCGTGGTGGAAACCCCGGGGCGCCTAGGCGGAGAAGCCCGACAATGGCTTCTGCGGCAGGTGCGCACGCTGCCGGAGGACCAGCAGCCCGGCGAGCTGACGCGGGCCTACAAGGCCATCAGCTGCGCCGTGCAGGCTCAGCTGGCGCTGCAGCGCCGCCGAGCAGCCGGGCTGGCCTGACGCCGCGGGGAGCTGCTCGCCCAGGCGGCGGCGCCAGACTGACTACTGGCCGGGGCCAGGCCGCTAGCTGGAA